TACACCATGTGTTGGTTTTAGGATCAAAAAGTACCTTTTTTTTCAGTACCTATCCTCTGCCACCCACTGTGGCCTTTAAATAAACGGTTTCTAATAAATTGAAATAGTTCATGGACAAAGAAGCTGTCATGAGGAATGATTGATTGTGCTTAATATTTTATTTTCAAGATTTAAAAGGAAATCTCTGAAATGTCCTTTGGCAGGTCTGTGAACCTAATGGAGTGATTCATAGGGATACAAAAGGAACAGGGCTTGTTACCAGCAAAGTGGGACAGCGCTGGTTTGTGTTTCTTACACACTTCTGCAWTATGGCTGGAAAATACTGTGGGGGAAAGGCAAACAAAGGCAAAATTCAGGTTCAGATTCTTCAGCCCTGCTGACAAGAGAAAATGAAGGTTTTCTAACCACTGTGCATCCATAATATTAAAAAATGCAGAGAGAAAATCAGCTCTTTGTTGGTGAGACATGAACTTTCTTTCAAATTAGAGTGTGTGCAGGCTATTGTGCCCAGCATCACTGYGGTATTCTATACCGCCAAACTTTAATGCCTTGGGAGTGTTCCCACAGGAAACCAGTATCCTGTTGTTTTACTGGGATACACTGGTGAAACAGCCTGTCCTAAATCACACAAAAGGTCAAGGTCACACATGGGGTTTGAACTCTGACCTYCTGATGTCTCCTGTGTATGCACCATCAGCTCTTGTTTTTCTCATGCCTCATTTCACTCCAGATAGTTTCTCCTGCCTTCAACCTCTCCCAGCTGCCAATGACGCTCTTTGCTGCCTCCAGCATRTCCCTACAGGGGACATGTCCTCATGCAGGACCTTTTTCTGAAAGGCTGGATGAGCTCATTGCTATGTATGAAGGAAGAGACCAGGGCATGATCAGTTGCTTTGTGGGCTGGCTYGTCAGAGGTTTTCCCCAGCAAAATCGACAAAAATAAGGGTAGGAACARCAAGGTTTCAGGACGAGTTCTGACCTGTTCTTCAGGTGAATGTCACCTTCAGTTAATGAACAATAGTCATCCTGCCTAACTCTAGAACGTTGTCACGTAGGTATCTGCATTGGAGATGTTACCCCTCCCTTCATGGCTGTCAGAGACAAAAAGGCTCCTCTAGGGAGCAAGATGCCCTGTCCTGAACTAGGCATTAAAATAGCCTAGGTAGCTCACAGGAGTGGTTGTGATGGGACCCTTTGTTGGTGAAACCTCCATGGTTGGATGTACCCATTAGAGCTTTGTGGGCTGCCAGCGATCCTTGAGGAGTTTGATCCACGCTGGAATACAAGGGAGAGATCTTGAAAATATCTCTACTGGCTGTGCATATTCTCTATCTTCTTGCTGCTGATAGTGAGCTTCAGGTGTTCAAAATGCTCAGTTTTCTTCCTCCAAGTCACAACTTACACTGCATTTCGTTCACCTTGATTTTCCTTCTGTTTCGGCTACTTCTTCCCTTTTGTCACTAGATGACAGTAGAGTTCTCCTAACAGCACRCCAAGGACTGCTCTGAATCCAGGACAGGCACCGCTTCTGTACCAGGCAGTTCATGGCTGGATGCCCTGAAGCATCCTGATGACTTTTAATAACTCCTTACCTACTTATTTATCTGCCACATTATGTACAAATAGTGTATTTAAGTAAAATCTTCAGCTTTTTGTGTGGAGCTACTGGAGTGCATTTCCGTGCTTCGTCAACTCCATCATCCCCATCCTATTAAGATTTTTTTTCTCTCACATTTGCTCRATGCTCTTTGTTTTATACTTGGCTTGCACTCTCCAAATCCACTTTATTTAATCCAACTGGAGCCCTCACAGATATAAGCAACTGGAGCACACTCCAAAAACTTGCTTCTATACAGGACAGAGTGAGGTCCCTAGAGATATGTGGTTCCTGGGGGGAGGAGTTCTGTGATAACTGGAAATTGGCACCTAAATATGAGTGTAAATACTTTAGACAAGATGGATAAATGCATGGATAGATGGATGGATTTTAGCACACACAGTAATTACTTCTTGGTGGAATATGGGTCAGATAACTGAGATAGTTATCTTAAGGGTGAAATGGATGATTTAAAAAAAATTGCATTATTAGAAATTATTCAGTTATCAGGAGTATCTTTACCAGATAACAAGAAGGAAAAGGCATGGATTTTTGACACGAGTCAACCAAATGGGTGTCTCTTTCTGTACCTGGGGTGCCATCAAGGAGGCTGGCTCAGGCTGTGGTCTAGCAGAGAGCTCTGCATGAGCACATGGACCTTGCCTGATGATTAACTGAACCAGGTCACTGATCTGTACAAAGGTATTCTGTGGGGAAGRCATGATCTATGTTCTTAGGAAGGGCCAGGACACTTTAGGAGACATTCTGGTTGATTTATTCATAGTTTCATAGGAGATGCCAGGACAATATTTCACAAGGAGGATTTTCATTACAAAATTCTCAAACCTACATCCCCAACAGCAATCTTCAGTGCCTGCAGYTCTTGGGCATGGTCCAGGATTTTGTTCTTGTCAAAATGAGAGGAATGGAGATACTGAGACCATTTGAATCTTTCAGATTTTGCAAAACTAGAAAATGTATCTCAAGCTTCTTGCCAGTGACTAGAAGCTACAYGTTCTTTCTTACAGAGGTTGTGGTTGTTGCTTTTGTTTTACCAGCAGTGTAATTTATAATCTCCAAGGCTGTGATGACCTGGAGATACTGCAGGTAGTCCTTCATAAGCAGTCCTGGGCACTCTGCTCCTATTGACTTGAACCATGCAGGATCACAGCCCTAAGGAACTGTGCATCATGATGGAAAAACTGAAACAGCCAGCATTTTCATTTCTGGTCACTTGGTCTCCGTCCCACAGCTAGATGAAGGATGGAAAAGGATATTGTTTCTTTGGTGTCGTGCTCGAATTTTTCCTAGTGGATGGAGCTTTTTAGGGAATGATGCTTCCCAGTTTATTGTAACTGAGTGRGGAGGGGAGAGGGATGGCCTGGGCAATCTGAGAAAAATATTTAAGCTTCTGCAGCTGTAGGTGGAATATTCATAAACAACCATGCAAATACCTCCTTCCCACTAAAGTCACGAATTACACCTTTTCCCTGGTGCGATATGCTTCATCTGCAGCTTTGGGASCTGCCCTGTCCCCAGGCTCAGGGGGTGGCTGATGGGTCACAGGGAGAGTCTAACTGTGTTTGGGAGCATGCCCATCACCAGCAGAGGACCTTCAGCATCACTTGACATGYCCCAGAGCAGGAAGCGGTTCCTATGTGAACCAGCTAGGATCTGTCCATCTGTTTCAAGTCCTGTTTCAAACACTGTGAATCAAGGTAAAATCCAGCCTGGAGGTGACAAGTATGTAGGTCATCCTGGCCGTGTCCACAGCTGGCAGGGTGGRGAAGGGAGGGGTAAAGGGTGGCACTTGCTGATGAATCAGAGCTGAAAGCAGCCCTTTAGAGACACTGGTRAGTCTGAATGTTATAGATCAGCTGCTACTGACCTAAAACATTCACCTTGAGGTTCAAAGGACAACTTCTAAGCCTTGTTACTGCAGTTTTGGGACTAAAGGGGGTCCTGAAAACCCCCACAGGCTGAGCCTCAGGAGAAACTGCCTGCAGTTAGTCAGCTACGTGTCTGTGGTACCAATTGAGCTTTTAAATCTGAAAGCATCTGCCCCAGCAGTGATTTGATTTTATGCAACGTGTCTCATRCTACTGTATTGCTAAGCATGTCACTAAATCCTTGCACATCAAAGGAGCAAGTAAATCAAGCAAAACTGCATTAGCACTCTACAATTCAGTTTTGGCAAAAGGTGCTTAGACACCCCTGGAGGCTGCAGTCCTTAGCTAGCAGCAAAACTCACATAAGCCCCAAAGCAGTGCAGTTTTTCCTGCACCACCAGGCAAAAGGCTTGCCACTGAGACTGGATTAGGAACTGGTTTGGAGTCAATTTGTGCAGAGGTCTAGTCCTGAATTTGATTACAATYTTCCAGGTGAATTGAGACATTATACTTAACCTTTCTTTGTTTCAATTTCCTGGTCCATAATTTTTTGCCCCATCTTCCATGGAGAAGATAAGGATTAATTAGATAAGACTGTTCAATGGAGACAAAAAAGCTTTGCAATTTTAAAAGATTCAGATTTGCCCTTTGCTAAGCCAGCTCGCTGAAATTCTTGTTGTCAGTATTGGAGTGCAGAATTTGTCTGCAATGTTACTGTTAATATTCCTTATTTGTACTCCCGATCATACAAGAACTGATGCTTTTTGCTGCTTTGCAGCCATCTGTAGGAAAAGGAAATGGTAACTTCACAAGCTCAGCAGCTGTCTYACTCCCTGGGGCCGAGTTCCAACACAAGAGCTGTCATTCTGTGGCATACACTGAGGGACAGATCCCTGGGACTGGTCACTCATTTGGATCTGATGGGTGACAAGGGTGGACAGACTGCCTAAAGGCTGGGTAGAGGCCACCATGGGCTGTAGGGGAGAGGATGCTGTGGTGGTTCTGGTGGTGAAGATGCAGTTCAGAAATGGGTGTGGCTGGGGGATGGGGTGAACATGCCACCCCTGCCTGCAGTGATGATGGAGGAAGGCTGGGGGTCTGGCTTTGGCTCGATGCCCATGGGGACATGATTTATATTCAGTCCATGGAGATGCACAGGTCATTGGATTGCCCTGGTGAAAGCACTTAGTTCAGTACAGAGACTTTGGGGGTCCTGGGATATCTGAAAGGAGGCTGGTAAGTCTGACACAGGATCTGACACACAAAGTCCTGGAGATCAAGTTGGTCACCAGAATAGTTCAAATGCACTGACCACAGATGTGTGGGCAGGCAAATAGAGCTGCAAGGCAGACACCTCATGGGCAGTTCAGCCTGTGTGGAAGCAGACAYCTACACCTGCATGGCTCAGTTGCTCTCCCAACTCCACAAGTGCCCTGACCAGTTTTTCACATACTTGAGCAGAAACTCACCCACGTGGCTGATGTAAACACTGTGCATAAACACCAGCATGCAGGGGTTAAACCAATCTCTGGGCTCCTCCTAAATCAGATCCTCCAGCAACAATGCTGAGATCCTCCACAGAACAAAGGACAGCTCCATGCTGGAGAGAGACCATTCCTTCTACAGCAAAAGGAGGTAAGAGTGGGGTTCTCAGAGGGTTTGTTCTTGGCCCCAGATGTGTTCCCAGTTGAGACTTTCTGGGTCAGGAGAGTTAAAGAATGTCTGATATCTCCTGCCCAGAGCCTTTTGTACTGTAATTTCCTAGATTTTTTCCTGCCTGAAGTCCTCTCCATCGCAAATCTAACACAGAAACCTGAGGCCTTTACCCAGATATGCCAAACCTCTTGTCCCGTGCCAATTCTTTACTCTTTTTTTTTTCCCCATACCACATTGTTCATTGTGCATGTCCCACAATAAATGGACTAAAGTCACCAATGTAATTTAACATGGGTAAASTGAAACCCAGTTAATTTTGGTCAGTCCTATATTACAACATGTTGGAGTTTATAGGCCACCATCCCCCCCACAGAGCACTGCACAAGAAACAAATGGAACATGTCTCCTGGGGATCTTTTTCTCTAGAGAATCCAGATGCTTTCAAGGTGCCTGGTAACAGTACAAAATAGTCTGCTATTAAAATTCAAAAGCAAGTAAAATAGCCCTTCCCTGCAGGCTTTCTTTCTATGAGGCATTTCTGATGAGAATCCAGAGTCTCTGCAGAGGCCTGGCATATGAAATACAAATTATACAGCTAGAATTCCCCTCTTTAGAAGTGACTGTGTGAAGCACAAAATCCCTTTGCAATTCACACTTGTGATGAGAGGCAGCTCCTTATTTTCAGACCGCTCCTCTCAGCATTCCTTGGGCTGAAGGCCTGCAAGGCTTGTAGCCCAGGAGCTACTTGCCCTTCCTAGGGCCGTCCCATCTCAGGGGAGAGCACATCTCCTACACCCTTCCGAGCACAGTGGAGGCTCCTCTTGCTTTCTCCAGCCCCCTAGAAACACACTGGGACTGCATTTGTCCTTCCATCTCCATCTCCGGAGCCTTCCTGCTGACATCTGAAAGGGCATGTCTACAACTACACATTTTGGGCTATTTTGTCATGGGGATAGGTTAAAAATGAGTCATGGTCTTTTTCWCTAATGACTTGCACAGTGGAGTTTTTCCACACAGTGAGCCATTATGAACCCATAGGTGGAGAAGATAATTATGACTGGTGTAAAGCTGTGCCTAATTTCCCACTCCATAAAGGGGAGACAATAACTCCCTTTCCTCATGGATGTTTGTGATGATTTAATCACAAGGCAAGCTCTGTATTTATAGAATTTAAAGACACCGCTATGATTATGTAGTCCCGCCTTCAGCATGGCAAAGCTCAAAGCACATCAGCCATGAACGTCTGAGTCGAGTTCATAATTCTGAATTTGTAGTGCATTTCTTAGAAAGACATTTGTGTGGCCAGTCTGAATGTATGTGTGCCAAGTTATGAACCCCATTTTCTGTGCTTATACACAGCGTCATATTTTCCATTTATAAATTCAGCTTGGGAGCAGAGTCTCCRTTTTCTGCTGTCTGTTGATTTTATACTAAGACCCCATTCACTGCAAGATTGCAATAATGTCAGCCTGCCAGTGTCCTGATCAAAGTACAAGTTTGCCACATCCCTGAGAGATCATCACTGAGAAATTGTGGATAAAACCATGTATAGCCCTTGCACCAGCTGAGTGATATGGCAGAAAATTATCTTCCTTGGGCTGTGAATGGCAGCAGGAACTATTACTCTTTGCAGCWGGATGGGTCTATGTGTTTAGCCCATCTAATTCCTCATTTGCTTTATGTTCATGTACCAAATTACAAAGGACAAAGGTTTTATTTCACATTGTTCCCAAGAAAATGAAGATAATCTGTGTGATGTCCTCATGAATAAGCATAATACTGATTTGGATCTCTTTGTAGGCATGTATAAGGATGAGTCAAAATGAAATTTGTAGGAAAGGTATGCCCACAYACCAATGAGTCCAGTTTAACAAACACAAGAATATACTTGGTGAAAGAGCTGTCTCTTGAATTAAGATGGTTTTCATGTGGCGAARAACCTAAGCATTTTGAGAAATCAGTTTTACGTGCTATATTTGAAAGGAGGTTCAGCTTTGTTTTTGCTGATGTGACAGGCAATGCTGAGTTTTTTRTCCCTCTTCACAGGATTTTGCTCTTGCAAAAGCATTGCCTCACAAGAGCTAATGTAGCCTAAGTTATTTTTCTAATTTTGTTGAATGTGAGGTCACCCACAYCCATAAATTTGAGGACATTTTACTCCCCTACTCAACATGGGAGGAAGGGATGTTCTTCCTGATGGGATACATGGAGAAAATGAAACCTGTGACTAGCTGTGAGAAGATTTAGGGCTCAGAAGATAAGTTTATCCTTTGTCACATGCAAGTAAGCTAATCTGAAGTCACRGGTTCTGGTTTACCTCTAAAATGCCAAGAAGGTCTGGCCTAGGGCACAGCATCCTCAAAATACTTCAGTTAGTGATCTGATAATGATAGGATAGATCTCTTGTTCTTTCTAAAAGTGACACTATTAAAAAAGTCCCATGCCAGATGTTTGTGTTTTTCCTCTCACCTGCTGATCATTCTGTCCTCTAAAGAGTGAAACTGAGAGCAGATAGCCTTAGTGGGGTGGGAGCCAGGGAGAAGATGTGTAGCCTGAATAAAGAGTCTTATGCCTGGGGGGAGGTCTGAGATGAAAGAGCTGAGCAACAGCATCTGACCAGGGACCCAGAGCCAGGAGGACCAGCTTGAATGCAAACAAAAGGAGATGTCCGGGGCCCTACTGACACTTTTTTTGCAGGATATAGTTTTTGCGTCTGTTTCTAGTGACCTTCCTGAAGTCACCCACATGCCTGGCGCAGCAGGATCATCAGTAGCCAAGAGCTCCTGTGAGTGCTCTCTCTTGGTGCTGACAGGGAGGCAGTTCCCTGGATTCCCTGTGCTCAKGTTGCTTCTYCATCCTCTCTTCAAGGCAAGGAATMATRGCTCTCCCTGACTCATGRGAAGAGCATCTGGCTGACCATTGCTGAGGAGAGAGGTGACAGACTGGTAGCCAAACAGAGCTGGGGTAAAATGTAGATCTGCATTAAACACCCCTAGTTCTATGTTCTCTTCACCTACTTGATTAACACGACCATTGACATAACAGTGCCTGCCTGAAGTGTTTTGTGGAAGGCTGGGGAGGCCCCAGGCCACTGGAAGGTGACCTTTTCAAGAAGTAAGAGCCTGGTGATAACAGTCTCTCTGCTGTGCTTGGTAAAATCACAGAGAAGTTTATTGTAGAAATTACTGCAATAACACACGAAAGCCAATGCAATCATTGGCCATAGCCAGCCCATATGTGTTTGTACTGGTGGCCACATGAGGATGAATGAATGAATTCACCTGCTGTSGTGTGGGGACTCTGGCCTCTGTAGGCATGAAACCATGAGGGCTTGGGAAAGCACAGACCATTCAGAATGTATTTAATTGTGTCCTTTGCCTGCTGAGGAGAGAGACAAGGACACTTTGTGYACARTTGGACCTGGCACAGAGCAGCACTRGGGAAAAAGCTTCACARGACTTTACTTGGAACAGAAAGTGGCCGGTGATGGACCCAATGCATAGCTTGGGTGTATTCTTCGCTGAGTGAAAAACAAGGTGGATGGCTGGGTCACAGGTGACTGATCAGGAGACAGGGCTGAGCCACCACTGTCTTGCACAGCTGCTTGTGATGTTACTGGTGACTAATTATCTGATTTGRTATGAATGAACACCTGGCTTTTGCAGTGTCTGACCACCACATGTTATTGTTCCCTTTTTCCGAGGGTGAACGTGGTCCAACAGGGACAATCTGCTTATGCAGATTACCCAGAGTATCTGCTTACACAGATGCTGTGCTTGTGATCCCCACCTATTTTCTACCAGTAGTCAGCTGGAGGACAACATAACCTGCAGAATATCCCAGCACTGATAACAGCAATAACATTCCAATTATATTTGAATAAAAAGGATGTACTCCTTTGARGACCTGCATGCTGTAAGAGGTGAAGCAATAAAACAAATAAGGGCACTGAAGCAAAGACCGAAGAGAAGGTTATGAGACAGATAGACGTTTTTATGGWCAAAAGTAGAATTAAAGGATATGGMGATTCATCAGATAGGTGGGGCTGAGACTCAYAGAAGCTGGAGAGGCAGATAAGAGGTGAGATAGCTTTTTCTTGTTCAGCAGTTCCCTACTTCCCTTYTAATATCTGAGGGAAAATGTTCCTYAYGGAAAAATATTTTACACAACTTCCTGGAGGAGCCTGAGATGGCCAGAGCTTTGGCTCATAGCTGTGGGCATCATGGCTGATGCTAGAAATGCCCTGTCCTATCTCTTGTCCAAGAGTGTGGCACCTTTKCTGTGTCTTTGGGCTGTGGGATGCTGACTTGTCAATTGAAAAGTCATCTTTTTGCTTTTTCCTTCACTCATCAGCATCCTTAGGTGACCCAGGCTTCCTTCCTCACTCCAGCCCCCTCCTGTAACTTTATTTGTTTTTGAAAACACACAGCAGCAATTTCAAAGTAATGTTTAAAATCAAGAACAATGCTTTTTGGCTTTTCATAAGGAGCTAGAATGTCTAACCTATTTTATTCTGTCATGGTTTAACCCAGCCAGGAGCTCAGCCCCACTCAGCTGTTTGTTCACTCCCCCCAGGTGGGATGGGGGAGAGAATTGGAAGAGTAAAAGTGAGAGAACTCACGGATTGAGATAAAGACAGCTTCATARGAAAAGCAAAACCTGTGCATGCAAACAGAGCAAAACAGGGAATCATTCACCACGTCCCATGGCCTTCAGCCATCCCCAGGAAAGCAGGGACACAGCCCATGTGATGGTGACCTGGGAAGACAAACACCATTACTATRAATATCTCCCCCCTTCCTCCTTCTTTCCCCAAAGTTTACTGGCTAAGCATGACACCATATGGTCTGAACATGACACCCTATGCCCTGGGATATTCTTCATTACAGGCAGGGCCATCTGTCCTGGCCGTGTCCCCTCCCAATTCCTCGTGCACCCCCTGCCCCCTCACTGGTGGGGTGAGGTGAGGAACAGAAAAG